GACATGTAAACAAGACTTACCATGTTCTAATCCTATCCTGAAAAAAGGTCAATGCTGTCCTTTTTGTCTTCCACCAACAGCGGCGGTTGCTGTTTGTATTTTTAATTATGTTCAATATCGTTCTGGTGAACATTGGAATGTAAGAATTCGTCGTTTTCTATATCTTATATGTTTATTTATATCGTGATTGTAGGTGAGCGATTGTCATCAGTGTGAATGTTCACTCGGAACAATTGTTTGCCATCAACATAAATGTCCGCCGTTAACCTGCTTGCATACAGTGACATTATCTGGCCACTGTTGTCCTATCTGTCAAGATCAACTGGCTTTTTTTAACTATCAAGACAAATGTAAATCTTCATTACTCTTCTCAACATTTATTTCTCTTTGGTTTTGTTTTTCAGTACAAATAACGTCGTCCCGATTTAGTTTTTGGATCATAATTCTCTTTTCCATTCTTATTTTTATTGCCATTGCTGTTATACTTATTCTTCTCTATTGTCTAATACATGGAAAGCATCGATCTCAGTCATCGTCAAACCAAATCTCTCATCTTCAACATCGTTCTCCCAAACTTTCTCATCACCATCAAAGCATGATCAATGCAAAATTAACCCATCTCATCTCGGATGAATGTGATCTCATTCTAAGATCGAGTGAACGCACTACGAAAACACGGATTTTATCATCATCAGCTCATCTACCGCTATCGTCTTTAGAGCGCATTTCTTCGCATTCAATTCTTGGCACAAACACAACAGGAACAAGTTCGTCGAATATGGAACTTGAACCAATCATTTGGAACGAAGACGATACAGCTATGCTTCATGCTAGCTCAAGTAGCAACGATGATGATTATGATCATGAAACCATCAGTAGTGATAATGAAAAATCTCATCAACAATATCCAAGAAATAATGGACCTCCGACTATAATTTATGTCTAATTATATACACATATCTAAATTTTGAAAGTTGCGGATCCTGTTTTTTTTTGTATATAGAAAAATCTCAGATAGATGTGTCGATTTGTGTTTCATTATAGAAAAGGAAAAGATGAATGATGAATAAATTGTGTGTGAGTGTGCATGTCAGCATGGAAAGAAACTTTTGATAACATATCTACACATTTGAAGAATAAAGTTATTGTTTGTTTTCTGTATTAATCATGTTATCATTGAAACAACTATGTACCTGTGGAATGTCTGTATGTCTTTCTCAAATTTAGATTGAATATTTCGGTGTGATCATGTTTTCAATCATTCTCAACACTCTTTTTTCTATTCTCTATCAACTCTATGAACGAAATTACATGATTCTATTCGTGATAACTTGTCTAAGTATACTGGCATGGGTATTCAACAAATTTTGGATGAATCGTTTGCTATATTCAAATGTACAGTCAATGAAAAACAAAACTGTGCTTATCACCGGAGGTAATGCCGGTATTGGCTATGAAGCAGCCAAAGATTTACTGAAACGAGGTAATTTGACTTGATCTCTTCTCTCCTAGTATCAAATTTTTGTTCGATTTAGACGCTCGAGTAGTGATTGCTTGTCGCAATATTGACAAAGGCCATCGAGCAATAACAAAACTTCATTTGGAGACAGGTTGCAAGAAAGATAATATTCGATTAATGGAATGCGATTTATCATCATTGAATTCTGTTCGTAAATTTGCAAAATTGTATAATGAGAAAGAAGATCGACTTGATGTTCTCATCTGCAATGCTGGCCGAGTTTACACGCCAACTCTTTATACAAAAGACGGATTCAACGATATCATGCAAAGCAACTATCTCGGTCATTTTCTTCTGATACACTTACTATTAGAAAAACTGAAACAGTGTCGACCAAGTCGAATCATCAATGTGTCGTCGGTCGCACATAAGTGTAAGAGTAGAACTTTATTAACTTGAAAGCGAACAGATCGGATTTTTAGATCCTCCAGCTAATCAAGGTATCATTGCATTAACCAATTTTAAGTCAGATGCCGTATGGGGTTCATACTGTCCGTCAAAAGCAAGTCAGATTTTATCAGCTTACAAACTGAAACATGATCTTTACGGTATAGCATACGAGTGATTTCCGTTGTTTTTTTTTATACTTCTGATTGTGAATAGATGATGGTGTTGATGTATTTGCCATAAATCCGGGATGGGTATGGACTTCATTTCAGGATCCATTACATCCAGCGGTTGGTACATGGCTGTTTCTCATTCTTTGTCCACTCTTGCGGGTTGCAAAGTTTATCTTCGCTAAAACACCATACATAGGATCGCGTACAACGGTGTTCTGTGCTGTTGAACCTTCACTCGAACATTCCAAACATTTATATTTCGAGTAAATGGAAAAGATTTGTTCACAGAAGCGACTACTAATGGGTGTTTTCTTTAGAAATTGTGCACCTTCGAAACCAGCGGCGTATTGTACAGACAAAGAATTGGCAGAAATTTTATGGAAGTTGAGTTGTGAGGCAGTAGGATTATAATAACTTGTGTATGAATATTTCTAAATAAAAATCTTGACGCCGAAATTCTTTTCACACTATGTACATCATTAAATGATTTATTTCGCAGAGGTCGATAGTGTCATGTCGAATGATTTGCATGTCTACATGACGATTGGCCTATTTTTAACATCTATGACATTTCTTCTAGTTCGTTGAGTACAAAATATGTTTGCGGATTTTTTTATCTCAGATTGGTAATAATTTTCAAACTACAGACAATGCCTGTAACAACAGCTGATGATATGTTTTCCATGGTTCATCAATTCTTCGAACAGTATCGTACAGCGATTTTTGTGCTTGCAGGAACATGTACAGCGGTTTTTTACTATTGCTAGTGAATTCTTCATTGATAAACTTGTTTTTAGTTATGGCTGGGTGGCTATATAATATACTATGGGTCAATCGAAAGTTTTATCCAAGCACTCAAACAATGTCTAATAAAACTGTGGTCATCACTGGTGGTAATGCAGGGATTGGTTATGAAACAGCCAAAGACCTCCTTCAACGAGGTAAAAATAGATCAATCTCTGGAGATTGTTTTCTTGACGTTGAGAATTCTTTTTAGGAGCTCGAGTCATTATCGTTTGTCGAAGCATGAATAAAGGACATGAAGCAGTTCAACGACTTCGCTCAGAAACGAATTGCGATGAGAAAAGTCTTCGACTAATGGAATGTGATCTCTGTTCGCTAGACTCTGTTCGTAGTTTTGCAAGAACATATAACAACGAAGAAGATCGACTTGATGTTCTCATCTGTAACGCTGGCATTGCTTGGTCACCTGATGTTGTGACTAAAGATGGATTTAGTCCTATCATACAAGCGAATTATTTAGGTCATTTTCTCTTAACACAACTTCTACTTGACAAATTAAAAAAATGTCGTCCAAGTCGAATAGTGAATGTCGCATCGGGTGCACATAAAAGTTTGAATTGCTCGTTTATTAGTTTTATTATTCGATTGTTTGTATTGACATGTGATTAGGTATTCGATCTATTGATTGGTCCGATGCATTTACACAAATGAAAACCTTTCGTCTATGGGGTGCTTATCCAGCATCGAAAGCATTTCAAATTCTGTTAACTCACAAATTAAAACAAGACTTACTTGAGAGTAGGCCATTAGCATAGTTCAACATTACGTTTTCTTTGTTTATAGAAGAGGGTATCAATGCGTTTTCTGCATGTCCTGGTTGGGTGTGGACATCGATTCAATCTCCCATGCAAGACGCACTTGGCATTTTTGGCTTTCTAATCGCGTATCCAATATTACGTTTACTTAAAATAGCTTTGGCAAAAACACCTGAGACAGGCGCACGAACGACGATCTTTTGTGCAGTTGAACCTACACTCGAACATTCACATGAACTATATTTTGAGTATGTATTGGTCACGTGAAATTTCCTCGATTTAATCGTTTCTATCTAGGAGTTGTAAGGCAGCTCAGCCGACTTCATTGTGCACTGACAACACAACGGCAGATCATCTGTGGAAACTGAGTATGGAAGCAGTAGGACTTAAATAATCTACACTGTTCGATATTTTTTGATAATAAAATTTTTGTACAAACCGATCGATTAAGAAAATACTCTGCATAAATCAAATTAATGAGGAATTTATCGTTGCTATGCAATAAATCTTCAATTTACTACCGTTCATGCTAGTCATTCTAACTATTTTCTTTTTATCACTTCAATGCACCTGTTCGAGTAAGTTATCTATTGAAAATATCGTTATTATTTCGTGCAAAAAACCGCTACAGATGGTCACAACGTACCTTACAATGGCGTCTGTACCTTTACTCATGATTGTGCTTATTGGCGTGAAGGACGTGTGATCTGTGACACAAGAAAAAGATGCACTTGTAGAGAAGGAAGCACCGCTAATGGAGGAAGGACCTACTGGGATGAAGCGAGTCATCGTTGCATTTTCTGTCCGTTTGGATGCCATGAAAGAGGTTTCTCTTTGATAATGTTTTTGGAAAAAAAACTTATTTTATTTATTAGATTCACGTTGTTATTGTTTTCTTAAAATGACAATGGACTGGCCTGCAGCAAGATCTAGTTGTCAATCAAGCTATTCAGGCGATGTACAGTTCTAAACTATATGTCGCAGTTTAGTCATGTGGCTCAGTCTATCTTATTCTAGTTGATTGTTTTCAAGGAACCTGCCGATCTGGAATGGCTCTATGTAAATCAAATGTAATATAGTCACTGCTAAAATCAGTTCTTATTCGATAGAAAAATACTGCTCATCTGTTTGGATATGGGCTCTTTGACGCGAAATATCATTATGAGCGATATTGGTAGATTATTCCGTTGGGTTACTATTAGAAAATTATGTGAGGTTATTGTAGGATAGGCGCAATGAATGAGCCATTTGTTAAATGTGAGTTGTTATCAATGGCAAATGAGGACTATAGGAAAGTCTACTTTAGTCGGCCAATTTACATGGATCGATAAGGACGGATTTGCTTTCGATCAAAACAGCTCAATGTGGTGTCGACCAAACCGTAGCGAAATAGTAAGTGATTGATTAACGGGTATGTGCATGGTTCACTGACTAGCAATTTGCTCATTTCAGCTGGAATTTTTTCTACCTCAACCTCAATGGACCGAAAATAACACGAAAAAAACTCGTGTTTCTCTCGTCCGGTAAAATATTTGATGATGGAAATGGCGAACAATCATCGATGAATTTTAAACTAGATGGTCAAAAACTATTATTCCTCCTGGTCAGTTTTGCTTGAAAGATGAGCTTCCAACTGAACGCTTGTACGTTGCTTGCGAAGTATGTAAGTTTGTATAGTTACATACCATGAATATTTACGCTGATAGTAACAATGAATCGTTTTCTAGCGGCGAGAACATTTCGAACCAATTGTGACCGAGCAAAGGAGTTTTGTAAAAATAATGGTGTATGTACAGCAGCGACGCACAAAGATGCAGCCGTATGCGATTGTACGGAAACACCATACAGTGGTGCTCGTTGTACGGACAAATGTGGTGAATTACCGTCGCATTGTGAGACATTGAATGATTTTCAAATGAATAATACAAAAATTCCGCTAGGTCTCAACGGTGGTAACTGTACAGAACTAGGCATGTGTATATGTACATCTCTCTGGAAAGGTTCTTTGTGCGAAATAGTACAAGGTACATCTAGCTGTTCGAACGCTTATTACGCTTGTTTTCGTAGATCCATGTCTTTCCAATCCTTGTCAACACAGGACGAAGTGTTCACAAATTGTAAAATATGTCTTCACCTCACCAACCTAAATCATTTTCTGTTCTGCTTTCGTAGGGTAATACGCACAAGTAAGTCGTCATTTCGTATCTCGATAGTGAAGTATTTATGAAATCGCTACATATGTGAAATAGTTTCGAATGTTCTGAAATAAAGTACACGTTTACGTCATGGTCATTTTTAGTTTCACTTGCGATTGTGAAGATTCCGGTTGGACTGGTGAATTGTGTCATCTGTCTACATGTAATTACAAGATTTCTGAAATCATATCGGATGTAGTTTCTCTCGACTTTCAGATCCATGTCCTGTCGATCGCTGTAAGATTATTAGAATCTCGTTGGAAGAAGATTATATTGACAATCGTTTAGGTAAAAATAATGGACAATGCAGACCGGTCGGACAGGTTAATTTCACGTGCAATTGTTTGCAAACAGGGTATCAAGGAACATTTTGTGGTACACATCTCTCCATTGTTTTCCCTTATCGATATGATGGGGTTTTCTCTCTATTAAGAGGAAGGGTGTTTAAATTCGGACAAACCTTGTCAAAATACAGGATCATGCGTCAATAATGAATGCGTTTGTAATTCATTGACAACTGGGAGCTTTTGTGAAAGAGCCATTGAGAAAACTCCAGAAAATAGTCAGAAGAAAACGACTGCAATCGGTCTCAGACTTTGGCTCATTATCATTTTGTCAACAGTCGGTGCGATACTTCTCGCTGGCTTGATGTACAGTCGTCACAAATTTTTAAAATCACGTGTCGAACAAAGTAATTCGACCGAACATGATGGCAAATCAATATTGACTGGTATGCAAACTGTACAAGTCAATGATGATGAGGCTGTCAGTGTAGCCTCAAGTCAACCCTCACTGTCCAAGAAGACTAAACAACATTTTCTTTCTGTGGATGCGATATATAGATAAGTGAAATTTCTAGATTACGTTATATAGGAAAAAAAACGACAAGAAAATTTATTTTTTGGAATTCAGACGAGTTGACAGTTGATTATAGATAAACTGTGCTGATGTTGATGATGATTGAATTTGAGCATAGTTTAAATTTTGACCTTGACTCGCAACAAGATTTGTCGCACCAGTCGAAGCTTTTATATCCATTGCATACTGTTTTGCCGGCATCTGGTGACGTTGGTCACGTGTTTCAGAACGTTGTAAATAGAAATGAGAAACCATATGTATAACATTTCCTTTACCGCAGTCAAATGTAACGAGAACAGCGTCTGAACGATATTTCTCACCCAAGGTGGCGGATCGAATGAGTACACGTACTTTATCTTTGTTCACGATTCGAATAGGATGAGAACCGCTTTCTAGCCACCACTGAGGCATAGCATGCTGAGATGCAGGTAGAAAGCCGCTTACCAATGGATGCTTTGAATCAGCAACTTCTATACCAACGACTTCATCTGCTGTGCCTAACCCGTTATGTTGAATAAAGTCCGAAAAGGCAACATTGTGAACATGAGTCAAAGCCCAATCGGTAGTTATAATATGAAGACCTTGCTCGACTAGTTGTCGAAGTCGTCTCGCTGCATCAATCGGGAAACTGGAGGAGCAATTTATGTAGACGGTTTGATCAAGTCGAATCGGATGAGTTAGTAAGTTCGTATTTTCAACAGTTATATATTTAATATTTAAACTCTTCAAGACACGATCGATGTGATCAAATGAACCTGGCACAACAATAACTGCATCCTCAGGCATATTTTGAATAGCTTGCTGATCAGATTTACTCAATGTTTCCATGGCTAATGCACCTCCAATGCGATACGCTCGTTCCATATCATTACCACTTCCGCAAAGATGAATATTAGATCGACGTACTATTGTAGAAGCTTCTCGAGTGTTCGAATTATCAGCCGACGAAGTTGGTGGGAGTGAAGTTAAGTTATTCGCTGATCTAGGTGGTAGACGAGACGTTAAATGATTTGTTGATGAAGGCACCGCTCGAGTATTGAAGTTATCCGTTGGTGTTGATTGTGTATTTGGCGAGAACGATTTCGTTGAACTACGAGGCATTTGTGACGAAGGATCTCTCGATAAAGGATGAGAATACCGACTACAATGTTCTGGATCTGACTGATTGTAGCATTCATCACCATATTTGCAAGGTGTTTGATTAAACGCAAACCGACTACCACTATTATTTCTTAAATTATTCGTAGTTCTGAAACCTAATTAAATTATGTTCGACTGTTTTTCGCATCGTCCTAAATTCTCTTCCTTACTTTGTGTTTGGTGATAAGAATTACTTGGATGTGCGTATGTGTTTGCATGTTCTGTCGAGCGGTTTTGGCATTGATCTCTATATCGACATGGTATGAGAAAATCTGGTAAGCCTTCATGTCGATAACTATGTCGATGTTCTGCATCCGTTAGTTTACTACAATCCTCAGGACCAAATTTACATAAGGGCACTTGATGTGGATCATGTGTGAACAGTCGTACGTGTTCACTATCATTATTATTTTTTTCGCGACATAATTCTGACCATCGGCACGGATGACTATAGAGTGACTTGTGTTCATTGGAGCTATCATACAGTAAATGACACTCGTGACCGTCTCTACAACGCTGCAATGGTCGGCTGGTCGAGAAACTATTCGTAGAGAATCTATGTACAGCGGAAAAATTCGTTCGCAAATGAATAATTTACTGATCAAGCCTACCGATTGAATTGCATTGTTGAAAAACAATCTGTGCTGTCGCAAAGGTTGTATTATAACTGGTTTAAGCAGGAAAAAACCAACTACTTCAGATTCTTTTTCTCTGAAGAAAGAATGAAAAACATTTGTGTGAAGTTGACGGTGAAGGATGGTAGAAAATGGCTGTTTAAGTCAATAAAACAACACTAAGAGAAGGTGAATATAAAGGATTTCAATTATCTGAGAACGTCTGTTTACCGAAGAACCAAACCATCGAATTTCATCGATGGAAATTTTCCAAAAGGTTTTTCTACGATCATCAACGATGAATTAGATTGCACTGCGCGCTTTTTTTCTTCCATATAATTTATTTCACAATGACTCTAAATAATTCTTCCAAATCTCGAACAAAAGTCAACAAAAGATCGAAATTTATTTCAAACAAAAAAGATCATCTACCATCGTCAACGAATTTTCAATATGCAGTTCGTCTGACTAAAAAAGCGTACGAAGAGCGCGAACAAACTTGTTCATACAAAGATTACCTTGTCCTCATCACTCTCGCTGCTTTCAATCGACATGAGATCAAGTATCTCCAAGTAATCGTTTTGTTTTTCGACACGTGAAAATGGAATGTACACATTCAGATTGATAAATACAAAACCAACACGCAAATTGAAATGGAACTACTCAAACGTTGGAATAAATTACCATTAGAAGAACGAAATAAATATGAAAATGAAGCTATTGATAACGATGTCTTCCATCAACTAGCTTACATTCGAATTGATAAGAACGAACTCTATGATCACAAGTCATCGTTAACACATTGTTGGAGTATACGTCAAGAACTCGAATTGCAATGGAATGCATTAGTAGATGAAGAGAAAATCGTTCATAAGAGAGTGGTTACCAATCGCGATATCGAGACGAAGAGACTCTTATGAATGAAAGCGACATTTTCTTTCGATTCTAATCATTGATTTTACCATATAGGGTTTAGAATATCGTCTTACATCACTGCCGCTTATTCTCTCCACGTATAATGAGTTTAATCCTCTTACTTACAAAAACGACATTGTACTTATCCGATTAGGTCAATCAGATGTTGTACAAATGTTAGATCTTTCTCACAAATGTAAATTAAGAAGACAGGTTTATTTGATTATAAGTATTAAATATAAAAATAAAAATCGAATAGATTCTTTTATTAAACCCATATGCCACTCGGGCATATTTTTAAAAGAGTACTATTCATATATTGAAGATGCACTGGCATAAGCGTACCGTGTGTGGTAGTCTCATGAAAATGATAAGAAGCATTGGGAAGATCTGAAAAACAAAAGACAACGAATATTTCGGTCATTGGTTTCCGTACAATGTGGATTTACCTTGCATTAATAGATCTTCGAGTTCGATTAATGCATCTTCGAAGTCCATAATAACTTTTTGATCTTGTTGAATAATACGTTCGATGTCCGCATTACGCTGATTCAAGATATCTAATAAGTCATCTTGCTGTTTTAATGAAACATCTGAACGTTGAAGATCATATTCGTATTGAAGGATATCCTAAAGGAAAAAAATACATACAATCAATGACGATATTTGGCTCCGATTTCGGTGTACCTTCTTATCGTTATTAATATTCGCCTGTATTTGTTCAATTTCTTCATGTGTTTGCTCAATACTGAACTGAAGTTGATCTTGCATTTGTCGTTTTTGTTCTGTCGTTGAAGAACAACGGGTGATTTGCTGTTGTAGATGTTCATAGTTTGAACTTAACTTTTCATGAAAGTCTAGTTCAATGTCCAATGCATCTGGCGAGTATTCTTGAGTAAAAGTTTGACATTCCGAGAGAAGATGCCGTTCGTGTTCTTCAAGTAATTTTAGCTCATGTTGGATATTATCATGATATAATTGTGTTTGACGAAGAAGAGCTTCGCGATATTCAATTTCTAAACGATAAATAAAGATTGACTAGGAAAAGTGTCAATTGTCGATGCGAACCTTTTTGTTTTTCATTTAATTCTTTTTCTTGCTGTTCAACTTGTAATTCTTGAGATTTGAGGATTTGAATTAATGCAAGATATTCTTGTTGTTGCTGTTGTTGAATATTTATATAATTACTGTTCGGATTATGCACAATATGAAACGCACTGTTTTCACTTAATGTTGATGGTATAGCAGATTTTGGTCTGGCATAGGGAAATGGCGAATGATTTTCACTAAGTGGAGTTCGTGATAGCCGATGTCGAGCTAAACTTGGCGACGGAGGTGTCGAATCAATAAGATAATGATTGATATTATTGCTTTTATTAGATGAAAATATCTGATGGATATTTGCCCGTTTTTTATTGTCAGATGTTAATGTCGCAAATACATTACCCGATATCGTTCGAAAATGTTCAGCCGGTGAGGTAATAGGTGATGGTGCTAGCATATAGAAAAAAAAAGTAAACTGAATTCTATCTTCTTGTTTTAAAGTGCAAGGTATATTTGATCTTTGTTCATCGTATATGACTGTTTACTTTCATCGTCCTATGTCATTAACCTTCTATCTCATCCCTATCTTCTACTTGTTTTAAACTTTACATTATACATATATTCGAATAAAAATGTGTTAAGGCATAGAGGTTTGTTATTGTCTACAGTCACTGACTTTGACATGAGTTCGAGAGAAAATTGATATCGACATAGTTCACCATCTTTTTAATGAACATGCAAGAACTAAGCCGATTACATCTTAGGTACTTGATATTAGCCTCATTTACTCTTCCATGTTAATCGAACGAGAAATGAATGGGACATATGGACACGTTCATCAACCTGTCTATTTAATCGTAAAACAATCTGAAGGAGATTAAAATAATAAAGATACCTTGAATTTTCACATGAAAATGTGAAAGATTAAACCAGCCTGCACACATGAGCAAACGACGACTTGGAAGAAAATTACACACTTAGTCCTTCTGTCAATCACTTGATTACTTTAATGTTAGAAAATAACTGAATATATATGTAATTATATTTGCCTGACATGCCATAAAAATATGATTCTCACTGAGACGTATTATCGTATCCAAGGTTGTATATATATGTGTATACATCATCGAAATTCTGTCAAGCAATAAAATCGTTTTAACATACTGTCAAAAAATGTCTGCTGTTGCTGCTGTTTCAGTGGCGGTGGTGGCTGTTGTTGTTGTTGCTGTTGTTGTGTTGGTGTTTTTCGTCCATCTAAACTCTTCGAACGCTTTTGACCATTCGATTGACTTCGGTTCGATGGATTTTGCCGTAGAATATAAACCCAATCAGGATGATGAATTAACCCACATGTTAACTCATTAGGTGACAACGTTCGCTGTGTTCCATCAGGTGCACGTTGTATTAAGGAATATCTGCCTGCTTTACCTTTATACTGGGCAAGAGCAATAATGATATCATGTACTGTAGTTGCTCGAGTCAGATCACAGATGATGCGCGCAACACCATCAACATACACTCGAAGGTCCATAGTGGAGCATCGCGAGCTGTTTTACAAAAAAAGTAAAAAAAAAACGTTGTGGAGGAGAACGAGAAAACGAAAGAACAGAACACATATACAACAAATTTTACAATCAATCAACGGCGATCGTCGTTGTCCCTGCTGCCGAACGCAACGCAAAGGAAGAAAAGAAGAGACGCGCTCTTTTGAGCAAATAAAAGAAGAAGAAGACGAAGAAACAAAAAATCAGATAAGAATAGGCGAATATACAATTCGAAACGTATGATGAGGTTTGCCAATGACCATTCAATCAATGACAAATGAGACCCATCATACGGACTATTATCTCCAGTTATATATGTATACACACACACACACACATACATGTGTAAAAAGAAATACTAACGAGGTACATTTATCGACGAACTGAACTAGTCAACGAAAATTGACCTATCATTTAATTCAATAGTGACAATTGATTCCATTCAAATAATTATATAATCATCTTTTTTACTTTTGCTATTCATATATACAAGTGTCTATTAAGCTCATAGGATTACATATGACAATTATCAAACATTTAACAAGTAATCACTAAACGACCTTACAAAAACCATTGAGGAAACTTGGTATATGTATTCGTCGTTAAATACTTGAATATTTGCCGAGATAACAAGTAGAAAAATAGATTTTAATGATTATGACCGAATGTCTTCGTTGAAAGAAACCTTCCGATTTGATCTTTCTTCTTGTTTTATCCTATTGACATTTTGCATCGACTTTTTTACACTGTGAAAGATTTGATTTTGAATGAAAAATATATATATATATATTCTTTTTTTCGTTAACTGTATCTGATTACTAAGACGCTATGTCAATAATCGAAACGAAATATCTTTGCAATAATCCAACAGACATCTCTGTGAGACTAGATTATATCCTTGTTTATTATGGTCGATCGATCGACGTTCCCAACTCGTTTTTTTTTACTCAGCGATAATTAACTTGCGGAAGAAAACATATGTAAATAACAAAAACGTCTACGGTTAAACATCTGATTCAAATGAATAGGTGCGTTCGCTACTTGTGGTACTTTTCGAACGCAGATATGGCGGTCTTGTGATATTCGTTGGCATATCAGCGTCTTCGACGCGTAGAATCATGCGCGATTTTAATTGTCCGCTGTAGAAGTCCAATGTTCGATCCAGATTTTTATGAAGAAAGACTAACGTTGTTAGACCATCTTCACTGAGCACACGAATATGTATAGGATTTTCAAGAGGAATTCCAATTATGGCTCGAAGTGTAATCTATTTTTAGAAAGAAAATATTGGAAATTCTATCAACAAAAAAATTCTCACGTACTTACCAACAGTTCTGTAATAGTCATTGTTTGCTTTATATGACATAGTTCATTGAAAAGTCCATTATATTGAACAAATAGACTTAGAACAGGCACTGGTTCTGAGTGAAATTCCGATGACGAAGGTGAAGTTAACTGTAACTGAAACAAAAAAAACACATTAGACGGCTGAAAAGAAACAAGATAGATTACATTGTGGAGCCTTTCTTTCACTTCTTTCAATTCGTTACGTGTTCGGACTAGTTCGTCAACAATTGAAACCATTTTTTGTTCCTAAAAAGTTTAGATTCACTCTATTATTATGACCAGAAACTAACTAACTCACTTGTTGTTTCTTGTAATCGTTAACTAAAATCTTTAACATGCCTTTGAAAGTCATGATGTGTTGTCTGTGTGAGTGGTTCAACTAGTATGTCAAACGATTGTTTTCCGGGAAATGGAAGAGTGAAATGAACGAGAGACAAAATATTATTTTTTCTTTTCCACCGCTTGAAATAAGAAAACTCTCGAAGAAATATGAGTAAGTCTTGACTGTGCGGAATAGCATGGACGCGTGACTTGTGTTTTCAATTATATCACAATCGTCGGGTAAGAATCCATAATTGAATTTATTCCAAAAATAGTCAAACAAACGCATCTTCGCATGTAAGCATGACTCAAAACAAAAAATAAACGGAAAAGAAGACGCCTGACTGGAAAAGACAAGTCTATAGATACGGCAATCCAAAATATTCGTTAATAGAGTCATATTTCTGTCGTGATGATTGACCATTTGTACGTGTTGGTCTACCATCTGGATAAAGCCACGTAGCCAATTCATCTTGTCGAGCTAGATATTCTATGGCATAAGCAGCTGCTTGAACCATCTTTTCATACGCAAAAACATTTATGTTATCGATCGAATCGCATGCTTTGTGATAGCATGGATCTTGAATAGCACCAGAAACACCGCCCATGTTCGGTCCCAAGGCTTCTTCATAACGTTTACGTTGTTCATGAGATTTGGTTTCGTCAGCACCTGAGAATAATCCACCTGCAACAATACCTTCTGCTAGAAATGGACCATAATCACTTCGACCGCTGAAGTCAGTGAAGTCCCATGGCAACTTTTGACCTTCAAACCAGTCCCGAAACAACGCACTGATCTTGTTACTACCTGGAAGTGCTTGTGTTGGTGTAGCATCGTTTGCCGTTCGACCATCATAGATACCAAAGATGTAGTTCGGTGATCCGAGCATATCATAGTTCAAATTGATAAGATAATCTTGAAGACGTTCACCTACAGCAGTGGCCACTTTTGCTTGTTTGACATGGTCATCAGAACCAAGTAAACCAATTTCTTCAGCTCCCCACCAGCAGAATCGAATACGATACTTGTATTTCTCATAGGAAGATGTTTGAAAGAGTCGTGCGAGTGCAATTGCTAAACCAAGGTTTGCAGCACTTCCACTTCCTAAAAATACTAATCGATTCTACAGGAAAAACTCCTGGAAAAATTCTACGTACCATTATCATTAATTCCGGGTCCAGCAGGTACACTATCACTGTGACTTCCAACGACAATTGTTTGCGTTGCATCACCTGTGGGTGTATCCGCACAAATATTACCGACTGGAAAAGTACTTTCATCAGTAAAACGAATAATAAGGCGAACACCGACATCGTTTGACGGACTTTGAGCAGCGGTCGCTAGTTCTTGGCCTAGTGTGTAGGAGAGAAATAATGCCGGCAATTCGTTCTCTTGTCCCAAACTGATGAATAATGGTGGAATACGATCTGCTGATGTTCCATCATTATATATTAGAAGGGCAGTGACATTGTATTTTACAGCAAATGCTGCTTTCTCAACAAAACTGCAAGTACCTCGTTTAACTAGTGCAACTCTATTCGTTGGAGGAGGACTTGCCGCATTCCAGTCGCTTTCATCACATCCAACATTTGGAATGACACTGATCGAAACATAATTGGGAAAGTCAGCAGATCTCGAATACATAGCAATGTAGAATTCTGACGACGAAACAGCAGTTGAATAAGTACGGTTCTTGATAACGCCAGCAATAGATGTTAATAGAATCGGGTTACCTGCCAGAATGAAATTTCTTAGATAAAAGAAACTTTTTTGTACTTGAAAATTCGTATGTGATGATAAAGAATTCGTAATGTAATCAAGCGTTTGATTGAATCCGAGTGTATTGATTGCTCGATTACCATTGGCACCTGTTGCGATTCGTTGCAATTCATTCAGATGTGTCATTACATCCGTAATTTTAACGGATTCAGCATAGGCAGAATTGAGCGATGGTGTACTTGTTGTTGCTGATTCTTTTAATCGACTATTGACAATAACTAATGTTGCTACAGTGAGACCAATAGTAACGAGAACTAGTAGAACACCTACTAAGACTGCTGGCAAGAGCAATTTACTGCGTTTATCCACTGTATATGTCACTTTCTCATAGCTATTCCCAGTTACATTATCATTTCCAACTTGATTTCCATTCATGATTACTAAACCTTTTCAGATAATGCGGACTTAATGAAAAACTCTAGAGTGATGAAGATATTTATATAAAATAAAAACAAGTATTGACTTTGATCTTGTTTTCTTTCAAAATACGTACATATTATGACAAACTCCCATCACTAAAGTATATATCAAGATATGGATTGTTTTTATGTTGCGTTCGAATTGCCGTTGTAAAGTAATTACAATCTTTGCATAGAAGAATTTACAAGATTTTTATTAGTTTGAAAAGTTTTATGAAGTGTTTCGAAATTGTATCGTCATCGTGATTGATTCAAACGAAGGTAATCAAGTGAATGATTATAATTGTGAAAAATATTCTTTCATTTCAAGCGGACCCTCAAACGTCCTGTTCTGGAAAATAGATCGTTTGAATTTATTCAAGAGATGTTACGAAATATAATTCAAAACTCATATTTTTCTTTCATAGACTCATGAAAAGCAGCGACATTAAAAATAAGGCAGTCCAAAGTATTCATTGATAGAGTCATATTCTTGTTGTGATGTGGCATCATCCGAGCGTGTTGGTCTACCAGTTGGATAGAGATATCCTGTCAAGTTCTCATGTTTACCCAAATACTCTAAAGCATAAGCAGCTGCTTGTACCATTCTTGTGTAAGCGAAAATATTGATGTTGTGAATGGAATCACATGCTTTGTGATAGCATGAATCGTAGGGTGTATCAGATAGTCCACCTAATCCTGCGCCAAGCAATTGATCGTAATAGTTGCGTTCTACTACTGATTTACGACTTTCGGCACCGCTGAAAAGGCCACCAGAAACGATACCTTTAGCTAGAAATGGACCATAATCACTTCGGCCATTCAATGGAGTTTCAGTCCAAGGTAACTGTTGGTCAGTGAACCAATGACTAAAAAGTTCATTGATATTTTTACAGCCTGGAAGCGCATAGGCAGGTGTATCATTCTTTGCAGTTTTATCATCATAGATGCCGAATATAAAATTAGGTGAGGCAAGCATATCATAATTGAGATTGACTAGATAGTCTGTGAGACGTTCACCCGGAGTTGAGGCATTTTTAGCATTGTCGACATGATCTTGCGAACCAAGAAGACCAAGTTCCTCAGCACCCCACCAACAGAAGCGAACACGATATTTGTATTTGCTATACATAGTTTTGTTATAAAGTTCAGCAAGTACAAGAGCTATTTCAAGATTAGCAGCACTACCACTACCTAAGAAATAGAAACAGCAAATATAGAACAATCTAGAAGAAGGATTTTACGTGCTTACCGTTATCATTGATGCCAGGACCATTGGACACGCTATCGCTGTGACTTCCGAGGAGAATTGTCTGAGTAGGATCTCCATCTGGTGTATCTGCACATATATTTCCTACGGGAGCTGGCAATTCATTGCGAACGGTAATACTTATGTTTACGGTAATATTGTTTGATGGATCTTGAGAAGCAGCAAGTAGCTGTTCACCAATCGTATTGGACAGAAACAGTGCTGGAATCTGATTTCTTTGACCTAAGTTGATAATTATAGGCTTGACATCGTTCTCTGTATTGGCGTGATTATAGATCAGAATTGCAGTAGCATTATATTTCATTGCGAATTCGGCTTTGTCAGTAAGACCGCAGACACCTCGTTCGACCAGAACTACTTTACCATCTACCGATGGTTTAGCATTATCCCAGTCAACAGAATCACAACCTAGATTTGGAATAACAACAAGTTCAACTGGATCCTGAAAGTTCGCAGATGTTGAATATCGAGCAACGGCATAGTCGGACTCGGCTATGTTAGATGAATAATTATAAGTGGTCATATAGATATTGTTGATCGATGAAGAAAAAACAGGATCGCCATCGAGTTCAAATCTTTTCACAGGAAAATATGATCGAGTGATTCTAAAATTTGTCTTTTTTTGGAGAGTGTCAACGATGTAGTCCAGTGTTTGATTAAAACCCGTTGTATCTACAGCACGAGTTCCATCTCCACTGTCAGCGATTTTCTGTAATGCATTTAGATGGCCCATCACATTTTGAATGTCGATTTCTTGTGGTAAGATCGCATCATTAGTTGGTCGATTTGAGGTCATGGATGTTGTTGCCGTGTTTGCTGTTGTTGTTGGTCCAGGTGTCTTAGTGGTTGTAGTTCCTGGATTCGTTGGTCTAGTAGTTGAACTTAATGTTGTTTGAGGACCATTTGATTGAATATCATCAAATCCTTGATTGACCTTGACTAATGTAGTCACAGCTATGGCAAATGTCACTACAGTTAGAACGATTCCGATTCCAACGATTGGTACTAGTATTTTCATACATTTCAAAATTCTAAATTCATTCATACTGTTCTCCATGATGTGTTTTGAGAAAATGAAATTAGTAAACGAAAACGACGTAAATATCGGATATTTATAAGCAAAAAATAACTTGGATAGAGAAACAGAACAGGTAGTAATAATGATGATGTTATCTGAACTTGATGATTTGATAGAGAATAATAATAATAAATATTCTCGTTAACAGAATGGCACGTCAACTGAAATTTATCGATTTAACCAGATTTTCATATCGAGAAACGAGGGCAATATATGTCACAAATGAAAATAAAAATGCACCAAAAATTTATTAGATTATCGAGTTACAGTGCAGATGATTATCTACTCTGTCAAGTATATACGCTGACATTGCGGACATCAGCGGATTCGTTCTCTTTCTTATATAAAGTAATAACGAGTAGAATACCAATACACGATATCTGTTGAATAAAAAAGTTTATTAGAATCTATTAATCAGCTTTGATAATCGCGAGGAAAAAAGACTGACAGACAACTTCATAAATATGGCATACGAAAATATTCGTTAATAGAGTCATATTTCTGTCGTGATGATTGACCATTTGTACGTGTTGGTCTACCATCTGGATAGAGATACGTTTGCAAATCGCCTTGTCGAGCTAAATATTCTAAAGCGTAAGCAGCTGCTTGAACCATCTTTTCATACGCAAATGGATTAATATTCTGAATGGAATCGCATGGTTGGTGATAGCATGGATCTTGAATAGCACCAGCGATTCCACCCGCACCTTGTCCAAGTAATCTGTCATATCGATCACGCTGTTCTTGTGTTTTAATATCATCGCCACCAGAAAATAATCCACCTGCCACGATACCTTCTGCTAGAAATGGACCATAATCACTTCGACCGCTGAAGTCAGTGAAGTCCCATGGCAACTTTTGACCTTCAAACCAGCCGCGAAACAACGCACTGATCTTGTTACTACCTGGAAGTGCTTGTGTTGGTGTAGCATCGTTTGCCGTTCGACCATCATAGATACCAAAGATGTAGTTCGGTGATCCGAGCATATCATAGTTCAAATTGATAAGATAATCTTGAAGACGTTCACCTACAGCAGTGGCCACTTTTGCTTGTTTGACATGGTCATCAGAACCAAGTAAACCAATTTCTTCAGCTCCCCACCAGCAGAATCGAATACGATACTTGTATTTCTCATAGGAAGATGTTTGAAAGAGTCGTGCGAGTGCAATTGCTAAACCAAGGTTTGCAGCACTTCCACTTCCTAAAAATACTAATCGATTCTACAGGAAAAACTCCTGGAAAAATTCTACGTGCCATTGTCATTGATTCCGGGTCCGGCAGGTACGCTATCACTGTGACTTCCAACGACAATTGTTTGCGTTGCATCACCTGTGGGTGTATCCGCACAAATATTCCCTATAGGTGACAATGGTAAATTCTCTACATTGATGATAAGTCGGACGCCAGTATTTGATGATGTATTTAGAGCAGCATCAGCAAGTGCTTGGCCAACAGGATATGAAAGAAATAGTGCAGGTAAATTGTTCTGTTGACCAAGACCAATTGCAATAGGTGAAATTCGGTCAGGTGATGCACCATCATTGTAAATGAGTAATGCTTGAACATTATATTTAGCAGCAAGTGCGCCTTTGTCCGAAAATGCGCAAATGCCTCTTTTAACTAAGGCTACTTTTCCAGCGGGTGACACACTGGCTTTGCTCCACTCATCATCCGAACAACCAACGCCAGGAATGACAGATATCTGTTGAAAACTAGCAAAATTTGCAGCGATCGAAAACTGAATGTGATAGAAGTCAGCTGCAGAAAGATCATTTGAATAGGTGTAATTTGTTACAACACCGTTGATTGAAGAAATCAAAATTGGATTATTAACTAGAGCGAATTGTCGTATAGTAAAAAAACTTGTCTTGACGTTATAATTGGTATAGATGGAGAGACTGTTGGTAATATAGTCGAGGGTTTGATTGAAGCCAGACGTACTAACAGCTCGATTTCCATTGTTTGCTGTTGCGATACGTTGTAATTCATTGAGATGGCCCATAACATCTTGAATACGGATGGATTCTGCTAATACAGAGTTCAATGATGCTGAGGTAGTTGTTGCTGTTTCTGTTGATATTGTCTGGTTAACCTTGATCAAGGTGGCTACGGCAAGACCAAGGACAGCGATGGTCAGAACGATTGTTACTCCGATAGCGGCTAGAGTTAGTTTGTTACTAGAATTAGTTTTTTCTCCATAATGATGATCAGTATTGTAGACTTGGTTAGTTGATGGCATTGGTTTTGTTCTTACTCCGCTCTATCGAGAATGAAGACGAAGAGTGCGAAATAAATATTGTTGTAAAGTTTATTATTTCAAAATATTGACTAAAGCAAAGAAAAGAAAAGGAATCTTGATATAGTTTCTGCTATGTCATCAGCAGATAGATACTCTGGAGTAAAAAAAACTGTTTATAACTATTGATAAAATTTATGTCATAAACTGATTGCAAATCAGTGATTCTGAAGTTTTATTGATAACTGAAGGGTTCAACATTGTGATGTATTCGATTATCTCATCCAGAATATTATAAAATTAGATGCGCACGAGTTAATTTTTACATTCAGTACTATATATAAAACAATATCTAGTTTGGATAAAGCCATCCCTGTAAATCAGATTCTTCGCCTAGCTTTTCCAGAACGTAAGCTGCTGCTTTTACCATCTTGTCTAAAGCAAATATATTGACATTTTGGATTGAATCACATGCTTTATGGTAACACGGGTCACAAACACTATCAGCAAGTCCACCCATTCCTTGACCAAGAAAATGATCATAACGATTGCGTTCCTCTACAGTTTTGACGTCCTCGGCACCTGAGAATAATCCACCAACAACGATACCTTCAGTTAAAAATGGCGCATAGTCAGTTCGTCCATCCAAATCCGTAGTAGTCCACGGTAGATTTTGTGCATCGAACCATTCACGAAAGAGATCGGCGACTTTGTCAATGCCATGTATCGCTTTGCTTGGAATTCCCTTTCTTGCTGTTTGATTATGATAGACACCAAAAATGAAGTTAGGCGAAGCAATCATATCATAATTAAGATTGATAAGATAGTCTGCGAGACGTTCACCCGGAGCTGTAGCATTTTTAGCTTTTCTCACATGATAACTGGATCCAAGATATCCAACTTCTTCCGCGCCCCACCAACAGAATCGAATACGGTATTTGTATTTTGAGTAAATAGTTGTGTTATAAAGTTTAGCAAGTGCGACGGCCAAAGCGAGATTTGCGGCGATACCACTAAACCCCTCCCCATATTAAAAGTCCCTCTCATATTAGAAGCCCTCCCGTATTAGAAGCCCCCTCTGAAAGAAGCGATATGAAAGAGTATTAGAAACCCATGGGCTTATATTAAGTCCAAGATTTAAAATTTTTCCAAAATCATTCAAATTTTTTTTTGAGCGTCTACAAAACATGAACAGATGTTCATTGTACATTATGCTTTATAAAATTAGTGTATATATTCTTCTTTTATCTTTTCCATTATCATACATTCTATCGTATGTTTGTAAAATCAAAAACAGTTTAATGTTGCAACTCGATCTCAATTAAATATGTAAGACAGAAAAAATGCTCTAGTCTTATTTAAGAACAACGAAGTGATTGTATAACAATTAGTCATACACGTATGTTGATGTTTGATACTTTAACTGTTTGAACGAGAAAAAATGCACTGAATGAATGCTGGATAGACATCTATGTACAAATAAATCTCGACGGCGGCGTTCACATATCGTTCAATTAAAATATCTTTCATTCGAATTATTCTTTCCATTAGTTATGTATCAAATAGAAGAGCATCTTGCACCATTACCAGCCATTGTTACAAACTCGTTCTTAGATGAATCCATTTCCGACGATGATTCCTGCGTCGAAATTACGTCTCTTATCGATGAAAATGAAAATGATTTAATCAAATGGACTACATATTTACAACTTACTTCGGACAGTGACGAAGATAGCGATGAGAATTGTTCTTCGACTCAACCTGCATCACTCGTTAATTATTCGTTGTCAGAATCATCCAGCGATGATGAAAAATTATTACAATCATGAGTCAAGATAATTGAAATAAAAGCTTTCTTATTTTTTTAAAGTTTTACGCAAAAGTCATATTAGAAGCCCTCCCATAATAGAAGCCCCCCCTCAAAAAGTTTTAACCACAAACAGTTTAGAAGCCCCCTGGGACTTCTAATACGGGGAGGGGTTTACCTGAAATATAGAATTAGGATAAAGAATGTTCTATTTTAATCGTATACCATTATCATTGATACCAGGACCTTCAGGCACACTATCAGCATGACTTCCAATCAGAATCGTTTGAGTAGCATTTCCGCTCGATGTGTATGCACATATGTTTCCAACAGGAAAGGCCGGTAGACTTTTTACGTCAATACCTAACTGAACAGTGACATTTGACGATTGATTCAAAATTGCATCAACTAGATCTTGACCAACTTTGTGTGAAAGAAATAGAACTGGTAAAATGTTATCTTGACTAAGTATAATTTTGATCGGCGCTAAATCTTCCGACGATCTACCGTTGTTATAAAAGAGAATTCCACTAGCATTGTATTTAGTAGCATGAGAAATTCGCTGTCGAGATGAACAGTCACCTTCCTTTTTGATGAGAGCTATTCGTCCAGAAATAACGTTTTGCCAGTCTGTTTCGTTGCATCCACCATTAGGTATAACGCTGACATAGCCAATATCCGTTATATTTGAACCGGTAGAATACTTGGCATATAGAAAATCAGCTTTAGTGAGATCTAATGAGAAAGTATAGATCTTGATAGTGCCATTGACTGACGATATAAAAACTGGATCACTATTGAGAGCAAAATCTCTGACTGGAAAACTGTCTTCGATTACTGTGAAGTTAGTTTTACGAGAGAGAGTATATTTAATATACTGTAGTGTTTCGTTGAAACCACGCGTATTTATAGCTCGAGTGCCGTTGGCACGATCAGCAATACTTTGCAATTCATGAAGATGCTTTAAAACATCAATCACATCGATAGACGTGACAAGTGATAGGTTCTGACTTGGTGTCATTGTGATTACAGTTGACAGCGTAGTCAGCGATCCAGCTGCTATTGCTAATAATTTACCATCAACAGCATCTAATCGTTTGTTCAGAGTACCAAGAGTAACAGCAGCAAGAGCAAAGGTAATAATTCCGAACAAGCCAATGACTCCTAATGTAATAAGCAGACGTAACTTGGTCAAACCATTTGTGGCCATTGTAACTTTGAAATGTTGTTCCTCTCAGAGCTAATGCAAATGAATATATACGTCGCTTAACAGTCAGTTCTTATAGAGCTAAACACTTTCACAAAAATTAGATTATCACACAAAATTGATAAAATAAATTATTAATTATGTATGTGACATACTTATGATTAAACACTACTCAGCTAGGGTTACATTGTATTTAAGATATTTTTAGTCAGTCTTTCTAGTTTAACAATCCACATTTAATCATTAGAGAGGTAGTAAAATCTTTCAAGTCTTTTCTATCCTTCCCCGAACTGTTTATTTGAGAGAGAAAAGTGTCTGTAATCTATATCGATCATAAGCAATGCTATTTGGGTTAATATCATTCTTTTATTGAACATAAATGTTAAATTTTACACAACATCACATAGAGATAAAATAAACACATCATATTACATGTTGTACATCTAGGTAGAACATGTCATAGAAAACGATATTTTTTGCAAATTAATTAGAAGTTTCATAGACTTCTGTCGTCGTTGTCGAAGGTGTCTGTGAAATACTCATCACTTGACCCATAAGATCAACAATTTGTTTGTCGAGTCGATCGTATCTCTGGTTTAGAGTTCCCAACGTTGCAGCAACGAGCGCAAAAGTAATTATTCCAAACAAAGCGATGATGCCCAATGCAATGAGAACACGCATATTAGTTGTTCCATCCATGACAACTGAACACGTCTTCGATAGATAAATATAAGAACTTTGGTTTTTCGGGAACAAATCTTTTTTACGACGATCAATTGTCTCACACGACGTACGTATGTCGATAATAGACTAATATATATATATCACAGGCTGACAACGATGTGATGTGAAGTATGTTTGCTCATAATATAGATTAGCGGTATTAGTAAGATGTGTTGACTTTTCTGGTGTATATATGAGAAGACAACAGAAAAATCATGCCTATGATTTCAGACGGATTACTCATCAATGAGACTTGTAGTTCTGAAAAGAACGACAAAGTGCATATGAGACAAGATTAACACGCAACCAAACAAATACACATTGTTTTTGTGAAAAACTTTTGAAAGAAGCAAGGCTATGCATGTTATGACGAAATATTCAATCAGAGAAAGAAGTCCGATTATTACTATGCGAGTCGTTCGAACTATGTGATGGATATAAACCTTTTTGTTTCTGTGTCAATATACTACGAATAAAATATTTCTGAAATACTCGAATTCACTGAAAACTCAATGAAGTTAAAGAAGTTCTTCGCGTAAATACGACACAATCAAATGTCAATCATATGAATATTAGTCATTAGAAAAGTAATCAATGTAAATATCATTCGTAGACATCTTAGTACTCATTTAAAATACACAGAACATTCATCAAGCTCATGTAAATTCTGGTTATGAGTGTATGAGACGAGTTTCATTGTTGAAAAAGAGAAGGTTTCGTCAATGCATTATGTTTTATTTTTGAGTAAAAAAAGATGAAGTAAAAAATTCGTAAAAAAGAATTGATTATGAACATATTATCTCAGTAAGTTATTAAAATGATTCATCAATATTGAAAGCAATATTGATTCATTTGATCAGGGCGCTTGTCATTAACGATATTTTAATGCGAAGTTGGAGATGTGTTGTCGGTGGTAGTTGGCCCAGAAGTAAGAGACACAGCTTGGGATGCAGTGGTTTCAGATGGATTTGTATGTATAGTGTTACTTGTTCCTTCGGATGGGGATGAGGATGCAGATGTTATTGTTGTTGTTGTTGTTGTTGTCGGTGCTGCTGTTATTATTGTTGTAGAATTCTTCAAATTTGCTATTTGCTCAGAAAGAGCATTTAGTTGCTGTTTGAATTCATTATCACGTTTATTAAGAGTACCAACACTAGCTGCAGCAAGTGCAAATGTAATGATTCCAAATACAGCAATGATTCCCAGCATAATGAATTGGAGCATGTTCGGTGAAGCTGCCATGGTTGTCAACAGGTATTTTTATTCTTCAACTGTATTTCTTCGTGATACGTATAGTCTTCTCGAAGTGAATGTCAGCAACAGGTATATCAATTTATATAGTCGAGATACCGATGACGGCATTAAGTAGGTTTGCTGGTAAAACAGAACAAGAATATTAGTAACCTTTATATTCTCTTACAGAATGAGAAACTGTGTTCGGAAGAAGATATCACACATTTTCTCTTGACTGAATTAGTAATGTTTTGCAATAAAAGTTTTATATTTCAGGATACAAAATACTTTATTCTTGAAGTCCTCTATTCGATGTACATACGGTTTTTTTCCGCCATTTCAAGGAATACTGCTCGTCTACCTTTAGACAAACAAGAGAGTACGAGACATAATACGTGGCAGGTGCACACGATGATAAAGTTACCGCTAATCGTTTTACAGGTAACATATGAGATTTTGTTGTATGGTAGACAAAGTTACTGTACATTTCAATGACGTTTGCACTAAAAATGAGATACGGAAGTAGTGATAAAATTCATGTTATGGAAGATCTTCAAACGGGTACAGAAGAATGTGGGCGAATTAGCGGTGGTGTTTAGAAAAACATTCATTTCGATGACATTAATAAAAGTTTGTTGCGAATCATTGACATTTTGAGAGCAAAAAGACATAAAGTTTTTGTACGTCAATAGTACTGATAACTTCAATGAAGTGATGTGTCGATTCTCGTCATTTAACTATACGGTATTAGTCAACAATGAATCATACACGCGTTATGTATATTTTTGCATTCTCATGAACTGATTGGAATTATTTAGTAAACACCTTTTCGAATTCAACATCGATATCTATGGTCCTCAAAAGGAAAAAGAGTGTAAAAACAACTAAGCCGTTTTACAAGCAATTGTCTCCTGGTAACACAAGTTGCATGCATACACTCATCATGCTACATCTATTGTATTTAAATACTATTCATCTTGCTCCATACAATTCTAATAGGGAATATACGAATTTGTTGACATAAAAAAAGTGATTACATCTGTTCAAATAAGTCGTGTATAGCTCTGACAAGAATATAACAATCAATTTGAATTTCGATGAATAAAAGCGATTGTATATGAACTAGATGATGGCATACCATTTTGTCAACAACAGAAAAAGAAAGAAAGAGAGAGAGAGATATGGATGAATTGAATGCAATGTTTTTGCACGAAAATGTCGTATATCTTATCAGTTCATTCAAGTAAAATGGTCTCTCGACGAGTGTCGATATTATTATATTTTTTCACTATGCTTCATGGAATTGTCTCTCTGGAATCTTCACTGCATTGTTGGCGATGTGAAGTTACTGTTCAAGCTCCAGACAAGGCTGGAATGTTTTTAGATGGTACGCGATTCATCGACTATTTCTTGCACATAATGATAGATACATATTTTAAGATTGTCGAGCTCGATTCGATTTTACGCAACATACACGAGAAGATTGCGACGGTAAATGTTGGAAATCGGTTGATTTAATCGAAACACGATCATCTGAAAATAATACTCTCGATCGTCTATTGCGTAAAGATACAGATCTATATAAACTTCGCTCAAGTCGTCGATGTTTTTCTGCGACGGAACTTTTACGAGCAGCAGAGTTAGGTGTCAATACCTCTGATGGTTGTCGAAAAGTAAAACGAGAAGACAAGAAAATGAAAGAAGTATGCTTCTGCTCTGATCAAGATATGTGTAATCATGGAATGAAAATGCCGAGAGAACTTTTTATTTTATTCATTTGTAGTTTTCTTTTGTATTTCAAGTTCATCGTACTCTTTGAATAAACTATGCCGCACTTTTGATCGAAAAAAACGTACTAAAGAATCATTGCATCTATCTATTTTGGAAAAAAGTAGAGAACACTAATATAACTGTTAACTCGAAAGTAAATCGTAATAGAAACGCGGATATGAGTCAGTGATACAATGAAAAGACAGACTTATATCCCATCTGTGGTATACATGTCATTGATTCATACATAATAAAGTCATTCTTATCAATAGGTTAAACCAAATCTATCGGAATTTTATGGACTCTCAATCTAATCAGTGCTATAAAGAAGATATTTCCGCATCCAGAAGAGATTTAGTTCACGTTGTGTAAAGACCTCCGTTCATTCGATGAAAAACAGTACATCTATGCAAGTCCAAAAATAGCTATCAGAAAATGGACTAGGAGAGATCCATACGACGTCATAAGCAAGTATCAGAGAACGAACATATGATCATAAGAGTGACCAAATCCATGTACATGTCTTTGACGTCATGTGAGTGAAACAACATCTAACATAAGTTACTTGACCGACACCCTAACAATATCCTAAATCATCCAAATTTGTTCTCACCCCGCATAACTTCCCAACAAATGAACTTCAAGAAACACATTTTATTCGATTTCAACAAGAAACTACACTGATCAGGAGTTCATGTGCCATCTATTATCCTTCCACGTTGTTCGATCGACTTTCAGGCGATTTGTTGCGTGTAGCTTCCACCCTAACATAGAAACAGAGGAGATATTTCACTCACTTGTATCACATCACTTACTGAGACCAGTATCCGTTTGTGCTCGTTTTTCAAACTCTTTCTCAATAACACTTTTCCAGTGACGAGTAGTTCTTACACACTTCAGCTTCGTCTGTTTGATTCACTTTTCAATTTCGACTTGTTGTGTAGCGAGGTCATCCATTGCTTGCTTTAGTTCTTCGTCATTTTATTTCCAAGCATTGACATGAGCGTGATAATCGACTAATCGTTGTCCATAGGCTTCTGTTGGTGCGCTGTAAACTTTTCGACTCCTTTGCGCCATTCATCCATGTCCATTTTCGCGTCGATTATTGCCAATCGAAGCTCTTTCACGGTTCGTTCACACGACCGGCGCAGCTCATTCAGCCGATCCAAGTTACATTCCTAAACGAAACATCATCATTGGTTTCTTGGACTAATTCTCATGTTATTTTAATTAGTTACTCATCCATTCTGCTTTTCCGACATATTACTGTTCAACAAACTCGGTCAATATCATGTAAAACCTAACTTCTCAAAAAAGACATCCTCGATTTACCCGTTCATTCGGACAATTATCGCTGACATCGCTTATTGTCAGATAAGACTATCACCGAGGAGTAATGATCTCAGAAGAGCATTGTTCGATATTCTGCATCTTCCGTCGAACTTGTTTGCTAATAACATTGTATTGAAACAAATGGATAGAAAACAAATTAGGGGAATAGCCAGATAAGATTAATATCTTTTACAGATACAGATCGAACCATACAGTCTACATTTTCCAAACAATGGTATTTGGGGTTTAGTCATACTAGTTCTGAATAAAACTTCATGATTTGTATCGATTTCGATCATCATACTTTCATTCAACGTCCAAAAGCGACTCCATTATTACCTTCAAGATTCAAGTAAAACGTTATAGAGGACAAAACAACGAATAAATAAATGTTTCCTTTCAACCAGTCAAGTGAAGTGAAATAGAACTGCTGAACTGAATGGCGATAGAAAATATCATTTCATGTGTCGCTTTGAAAATTCGAATTCGATTAAAGTTTTCTACACGTGAATTAATTCGAACTGAATGAGAAATGTCATGTCAACAATAACACAAACGAATATTTTTCTTTATTTTTCAGATGGCTACAGTAGGTCTTCGTTCTCCAGCAGCTATATATTCGTGTGTTATCCGAAATAATAGTGATGCTGAAATCGATGTTCAGGTGCATTTTTCCGGCATTGAAGATCATCATGCTGAAGTTGCTGACATTGAAATTGCACAAGGTGAAGAAGAGCGTGTAGACGAAAAAGAATTTACTCATGGTGACTCAGATGGCAAATATCATAAAACAGTGGAATTGATTCGTGCGCGAAAATTCGATGGTTCGACAATCGAATTAAAACAACCGTTTGACGGTGTGACAGCGCCGAAGAAAGATTGGATATTTGAAATCACTAATGACTCAATCAAATCGGTTGATCCAGCCAAGAAATAATTTTAAAAACAAACTTTCTTTTGTTCTTACTTGTTGAAATAACCTAGTTCGCCTCAGTGTTAGTTTTATCAAACTTGTTCTCGATATTAAAATGAACATTCTATGTTTAAGAAAACTCTCGTTTGTTTATTGATATTCTTATATTGGTTTAAATCATTTTGTAATCAATGGAAATTGTCGGTTATTTTAACTTCTTGTTTTTGAGCATTGACTGATCTATGCAGTTGTTCTCGTCAGTAGAGGTTCTTCATTGGCGTTGACATCTAGAGAGAGAAAGGTATTCAATCTTTCATTTGTACAACAAGATACTAATTATCTACCAGAATCAACGGGAGGCTTTGATAGATCTGTTTGGTCATTTGATTGTTTTCTAGTTATGAGAAAGTAAAGACCAAAGATGATTGCACAGATGACATTAAATATGGCAAAGATTAAGAAAAGTAGACGTTGTTCCAAGAGCGTATAGATAAATGACGATGCAACCAGTCCAATACCGCGAGCTACGCACAAATGCAACATTTATTGTTAACATGTACAAAAGCAAAAAGAAATCTCCTACCTAAACCGAAATTGATTCCTAAGGACAAACTTTGAAGTGTACCGACAAGTCCAGCTGGCGCTAGAAGAGAGAAATATAATCAGTATACATAGTTATACTATCTAATTGCAAACATACCAATGGAAGCAGCCTTCTGAAGAACCAAAACGTAGAGAATACCAAAATTAAAGAAATGCATTGTTTCTGCAATGGGTAAAAGAAATGGTTGAAGAATAAAGTAATAGCCAGCAAATCGAAGTGCAAAAGCTAATAGAATAATAATCGAAGCAACATTAGTTCCTAAGAATTTTAAAACTTTCTCGGCAAAGAAAAGAGCAATAACTTCTGCGATAGCTGATACCAACGACATATAACCAACAATCGAACGGGATTGACATGGAGCAAATTCATCAATATACAAATACAAATACTAAAGAAGAGAGAACAGGATTGGGAATTCAATCTTGACTTCTAGTGGCTACTTACTGGATCGAGAACACCGTATGACATTCCCCAAACGAAAATCAGCAGAAGAAAGACGATAACGTCAATTCGTTTCACCAGCGGAATAAGTTCAAAGAGTGTAGATTGAGGTTTATTCTTCTTCTTCTTTGTCACTTGGCCATCGTCCTCAGCAAGAACTTCTTCTACTGTTGCATGACGTTTTCTTTTGTCCGGTTGGATGCGAACAAGACCCGTAATGACCATGCAAATAGCGGCCATAATCATGAAAAAAATTACATAAACATATTCGCTTTGAAAGGCCTCGTATAACCGGCTAGCGAGAAATGCTGATATGCCAAATCCTATTGTTCCCCAAACACGTTGCTTTCCAAAAATATCCGACCGATGTAAACTAGAAAAACCGATTGCAACGCCGAGTGGAATGGCGTTTGTCAAAAGGTTGGCGGCCAGTACAAATAAAAGTGAATAGAGAATAACAACACGTGTTTGATCAGGATGACGTGGCCCGTGACAGTAATGTGCTATAGAACAAGTTATTTCACATATTGCTAAACGAGGTGATTGGAACGGAACGAAATTATTTGCATCAAAACGTTGATAGACTGGCACTCGATATTGAAGTCCACACGAACGTGAATCATCTTTGAATTCTTTGGAAGTATTCTTCAAACCCATCGAAAACGTAAAGGAAAATGTTTTCATTTCATTTGGATTTCTTCGGTAAACCGTATCAACGATGGTACAATTGGCTCCATAGGAGCATCCACACTCGGTTCTTGAAGCACATTTGGTTCCGACTTCTTGACTAGCACAAAATTCCAAGACGTGACCAAGTTCATGGTCATCAATAAGATCCGCTTGAATATGATGCGATTTTACAGGTGGTAACATGAAAATAGCTACACAGGCGATTGTAGCGATGGCAAAAACGCAATTAAACATTAGTTTATAGCGACGTGTAAGGTCAGCTACATAGTTTAGAAGTGGATTTGTCACGAAGACTAAAAAGGGAATACCGATATTAAAATACGATAGTTCAACATTGGATAAACCACGAGCACGTAATGTGATGTTTAATATTGGATAGATGATACCGAAAGCGGAGAAATGGAGAAAATAATGTCCCTTCAAAAGAAGATAAAATCGATGGATGTATGGTAATGATGAATGTGGATTAACCACATCAGTGTTTGGAGGTGATGTTGCGTCTGTTTTCATTATCTTTTATTCACATCTAAAAACGCAGATCGAAGTGTGTTTGATAATGTTGATAGTCTAGTTTAAAATACGAACTAAAGAAGATTCTCTTGTCTATCATCGTGAGAGAATTTGTGAGTACACAACGGAAAAAAAAACCTCTTGCGTTTATTTGCTTGAAATTCTTATCTTTCGGTGTGCATGGTTAAAAGAATAAAACCACAGATGAACTTCGCCCAGCTTGTTTTGTCTTTCTGGTATCATTGCGTGATAGAGGAGCATATGAAGAGTGTGTATGTAATCGAATAAGACTATGAAAATACGACCATATTATATTTTCTTTCAAGTTTTTTTTTCTGACGTCATGGTATCATAAAAGATTAGATTTAAGTTATTCTTTTAAGACGAATGAATAGACTGACTTTTTTTTCTATTAAAGCAAATGAAAAACTATACCAACGTCATTCGTTTTTCGACAAATATTTAAATCCAAAATCAACAGCATAGACTTTATTCGTTCTTAAAAGGCAGTTTTTCTTGTTAATGTCCTTCGAATGACAATCTTTTATTAAGCAACATTTAGGAGAACGTATCCAGAGGTGCGCCAGATAAATACTTTCAAAAATTGAAGTATTATCATAGAAAGGCTTAATAGTCAGAGGTGAGATGCTTTTCATCATCCATTGACATATTAATTTGATCCGGTTGTTGTAACATGGTTTTGTAATGTCTTCGAAAATGTCGACGAATCATCAGTTTTTGTATTGACCATGGTAATTGTTCATGTTTCCTGCATTGTTCAACTAAGATTTTCCATCGTTCAATAATTTGCTGATCTAATGATGAACGACGTCGAACACGAACACGATTTTCATTGACGATGATGTCTGAAAAGATCGTTGATGATATTAAACTTTCATTAGCAAATACTCGGTTTTGATTGATAATAGCTAATTGTTTTTCGATATTTCTTATGCGAAGTAAATCGTCCTGAATCACTTTACCACTATTATTCTCACTTGTTCCTAAATAAATATCCCAGAGTCTGTCACGTTTTTGTTTATCGACGAGTTCTTCTGGAAAAAGAAAACGAACATTACTTCTATTCAACATCGCCATTAATGATCATACCAAGTATCTGTTTTGTATGTGTCTGATCATGAAGAGTTTCAAGTAGAGCTTTAGCTCGACGTCGAGCACAATCTTCAACTGTTTCATCGCGTGCTTTTATCTGCATACCTAGCATACAAACCATACCCAAGGAATACCAGATGAGAACTGCAACAATAAATAGGATTTCACCAGTTGAATCGTATGTAATGTCATTTTTATGAGCTGAACTATAGGAAGTAGAGTTCATCATTTGCACGTTTGCTTTCTATCGAATGATCACACGAGCCTGTGCGATTAGATATCATCAAAACATGTGTTTGAACTCTCAGGTATTACATATCGATCTATAGTGCTTTCATATTTAGAAGAGAATGTTTTGACACGCCGATATGGATCGTACTGTGGGATGGAAAATGAGGCATAGCGATGCATTTTATGCGTTGCAATTGTTAAAAAAATAAAAGAGTATTTTATTTCAGAAAAGATGTCACTCATACGTTGTTGATTGGTGTTTTATTGTGAATGGACAATCTTGACTCATTTATTTTCTGTGAGTATTAGTTTGGCGTAGAATAAATTAGCGTTTCACAACAGAATTCAATTTCAATGGTTAGTTTGCGTTTGAATAATTGTATATCAATGAACAATTTGGTTTTCTTCTTATAGAACGACGGACCAAGAACTCAGGTAACTCAGGAATGTGTTGAAACTGGCAATACTCTACCCGATGGAGAAACTACTGAACAAGACTTAGAAGTCTGGGGTCGACTTTTATCGATAAACAAACTTTTTCCGTCGATTAATTTGATTGCAAATGAATACTCGCTTGGTCGTGGTAAAAAATGTACAATAGCACTGGAATCGAAAGAAATACAAGCATCCAAATATTTTGCGACATACTCATCAACACATTTCAAAATCATTCGCGACACAATTCAAAATTTTGTTTATATTCAAGACATCTCGTCGAACGGAACGTATGTAAATGGCGATAAAATTGGCAAGAATAAAAAACGCGTGCTGGATAACAATGCGGAAATCGCTCTAGCTTCTAAAACTAACCGTGTTTACGTTTATATTGACACAAATGCTAAAGAGGATTCATCGATTCCAGATGTTGTACGTGAAAAATATATCGTTTCGAAAGAAATTGGACGTGGTGCATACGGAGAAGTGAAACTATGCTTCATTCGAGGTATAATACGCAAATGTTTCCGATTAAACTATCGATCTCACGACTTCAATTCATTTGTTTGTAGGCACTTGTAATCGATTTGCAATGAAAATCATTGCAAAGAAGCATTTTACCATGTTGGGCACTCAGGCCCATACATTCAATCAACAAATTCAAGCTGAATGTAATATTTTACAAGGACTTGACCATCCGTGCATCATTCGTGTATACGATGTTTACGATACGCCAAATGCTGTTTATATTATTCTTGAATTAGTGGAAGGCGGAGAATTATTTGATCGTATCGTCGCCAGTGGTCAATTCGATGAACCAACGACCAAATTTCTCTTTCGACAAATGTGTCTGGGAGTGAAATATTTACACGACCGTTCAATTACGCATCGCGATTTAAAACCAGAAAATGTTTTATTAACATCACCGGACACAAATGAAACATTAGTTAAAATTACCGATTTTGGTCTGTCGAGATTTATCAATGAAACAACACTGATGAAAACATTTTGTGGTACACCAAACTATCTCGGTAAGTAGACGAAGTTTGTAACATTTCATAATTGGACACTTCTATCTATATTTCATAGCTCCAGAAGTTTTAATAACCCGTGGCGAATCAAGTTACACGAATAAAGTTGATGTTTGGAGTCTAGGCGTAATTCTCTATGTTTGCTTAGGTAAATCAAAATCTATTGAATAGATCTGATACATTCTATCTATTTCTAGTCGGTTATCCACCATTCAGTGATTCGATTAGTGGAAAACCTTTAAATGATCAAATTATCGAAGGTCTTTACACATTTCCTGATGAATTCTGGTCAGACGTATCAGACTCAGCGAAAGATCTCATTCGAAAAATGATGTGTACTGATCCAGCCAAACGTTTGACAATGGATGGTGTACTTCAACATCCTTGGCTAGCTGATGACCTTGATAATACGAAACGGGTGGATAGTATGATGTATTCTTCTCAAGTCGTGAAGACACCAGCAACGGTTCAATTATCCAAACGTTCGGCATGTGATGACGCAGAAGAAGAAAAAGCTGTAGCAATCAAGGGACCTGTGACTACCGCGTCCGAAAGTACTTATGCCAGTGGAAGACGAAAGCGAGCCAAATACTGATCCAGACCGGTTTTCGTTTCTTTGTTTTATTTCTGTAAACTACCATAACACATTATTTTTATACTAATCGCCGGTAAGACGTCTCCGGTGCGCTCTATGTCCAGTATTTTTCGATGTTGTGTGATGTCTGTAGCGGTTAAAGCACTCATTTGTTTTTCTTTGCATATCGAAAAGATTCGCAAATTTTTACTTAACCAAGATAAACAGTATGATTGATGTGATATTCGGCAAGGTCACTTTTTCTTTATACTGTAAAGCAGTTTTGAACGTTGTTGATGTTTATCTTTGAGAAACGATCGATTTCATGAATACAACCTAGATGCTACTATCGATAGATACATCATGGACGAAATGAAGCTTTCTCATGGGAATGTGTGACTCAACAATATTATCTCTGGTTTATTACACGTAACATAGATCAATAAAACTCGATAGTATTCCACAAGATCATTCAGTAAATGTAAATCGAATGGATTTTATCGTGGGTTAGGAATGAGAAGCAAAACATTCTTGTATTTTGAATCGTCGTTTCAAGATGAGTAGATGACTTCAGGTTATATGGCGAATATACATAACGTCATTCTTTATCTGTTCTTACTAATGCGAAATGAAAGAGCATTTCTGTTCTATGAGTCGCGATAATCGACAAATCTCATTGCTCTCATGATTTCAAATATATTCTGCAAGAATTAACAAATTATCGAATTTGATTTCGATAGATATAGAAACAGCTATTTTAATGGCGAAATGAAATCATAAAAAAGAATATTCGAATGTTTGTTCGCGACATTCATATACAACTTATCGTCAGGTGTCACAAAAAAAAGGATTTTTCCTTGTGTGAAAAGTCTAATACCATTCATTAGTCATTTAATTTGACCTGCTCAAACAATTAAGTCTCATATTTGATGTTACTCATTAAATTAACATTACCACGAGTGAATACGGTTGAAAACAATTTTTCTCGACAAAAAAGACACTTTTACAGTATTTTTTTATGATTTCTAATCTATGAGTTTTTATCCTTACATTGATAATATCTGGCTCTCTCTCCCCCCACACTCCGTAACAGTTGCACAAGAGAAATTGATAAGAAAAAACAACACGACCAGCTATATTTATATTACAAGTTTAGTTAGTTATCGTTTATTCACACAGATTCAAGCTTAGTGTACGAACGCTTTTGACGAAACATCTTTTAAAAAATGGCTGATATCATCTTACTTGTTCTTGCTTTCTTCATTCCACCATTGGCTGTCTATCTACATCAAAATGCATGCAATAATCAAGTTTTATTGAATTTAGTCTTGACTATTCTGGGATTCTATATTATTGGGATCATTCATGCTTTCTGGGTGATTACTCGCTAGATATTATTGTTAACAATCCAATCATTTCTCGAATGAAACTTCCAAGCGCTTTTCTTTCCAATTCTATTATGAGCATATAACTGTTTTCTTCTTATATTAATAAATCTTTCAAAATGATGGACAAATACCATCGTCATTTGATTTGTGTTATTCTCATGATATGTTTAATTATTTTTGCTTCGCTCATCATATTTCTAATTGTTTCGTTTCTCTAAATAATCACGCGAAAACAGAGATGCTTGTAAATTCGGAGCATATTTTCTTCTATTATATCCATCGCACGTTTCTCTCCTACCATGTTAAATATTCGTATTACAAGTATATCTCTTTATCTCAAATGAACATTCTACTCATTCGCTTTCCCATTTCAATCAAAGACATCGATATATAATATTTCATAAGACTTCTTCATTCATCCGAAGATTAGATGTGGTCAATTGTTCTAGTTGTACACTTGAATATATCTGACATATCTTTTTCCGCTCACTCGACTTTCTTTCTTTGGTGTTCAGACATAATGAACAGATTCGGCATGTTAATCTTCATTTGTAATTAGCAATACATATCCAATCAATTCTTCGATCATTTACACTTATGAAATGACGGTATCGACATGATTATTTCCGGTCACTCATATTTCTCTGACTCTTTCGCTCTCTGGAGATTTCAACACTTCACAACATAATTATCGGTCGAGAGGCGCAAGAAAAAGCAACTTGAACAGTTCTGACGACAATTTACAACCCTAGAGCAATTCATGTTTAAATTTGATATCTCATAAAAAAATTTCCTTATATGTTTTCCCATGATTATAAAGATATGAACAATCAGTTCCCTGCATCTTAGAATAACAGAAGTGAACAACAATATCATTAATCAACATCTTAGTGTTATCTTTTCACAATGACCGTATGTAATAAATTACACGTATTTGGTCTGTTAGCATATGATTGCGAATATTGAACAAAAAATTTAGATGTGAACTCAACAAACGAAACGTGCCTTTGAACTTGTTTGCTTTACAAATTACTCATTTCACATCTCTCCTAATTATTTAGACTATTTCCTATTTCTCGCCGCTCATTTCATCCTTTTCTTTTCCACATCAACACTATAAATCTGCATACATATATCAAATCACATCCTCGCCCCACATATTCAAATCAAAAACAACAATCACCAACATTGTCTCAAACAACATCATTATAATCAAATTTATGAGTTCAATCATTTGCACCTTCTCCTCTCAC